AAGGAAGATTATAAAAATAATTAAAGAAATAGAAAACAAGATATAACAGAGAAATAAAAAAGCGACACATTGAAATGAATATTAAAATTGACAACCATCTGGTTTCAAGTAAGTGAAATCAGGAGAACATGGACACAAGTAGAGACTACTAAATAAGAGAATGTTATGAAAATATGCTAGTATATTTGCAAGTTTACATAAAATGGACACATTCCTAGAAAAATATCTTAGCAACACTAACTTAAGAGGAAACAAGGCCTGAAGGGCCCTATAGACATAGTTAGTTTTATAAAACTTAAAAAATACATCTAATATATGAAGTTAATTAGCAAATGTTACTGAAAAGCATTAAAGGAGAGCTAAATAAGGAAGACAGAGATCATGTTTCAGGATAGGAAGATTGTATCATATGCATATTAAATATCCCCCAAACTAATATACTCAAGTCAAATAAAAATCCCAACAAGATTCTTTGTGAACTTTTCAACACTAGTTCAAAACCTACGTAAAAAACAAAGAACAATGGAAATAGTTCTGAAGAATAAGACTAGGGGAGTGTGCACTGGCTCATAGGCAGACAAACGAAGCAGCCACCTGAGTAGAGAGCTATGCATACTCAGAACTTGCTGGAACAAAGGTGATGGTGAAGATCTATGGGGCAGGGACTGCTCAATAAGTGGTACTGGGCTAGCACGGCTGTTTTACCAAATGGAAATTAGATCCCTTTAAACATTACCCAAAAAAAAAAAAAAAATCATTCCAGATGGATTAAAGACAAACGTGGAAAGCAAAATGTTAAAACATTTAGAAATTAACAGGAGTGTATCTATGACCCTGCAGGACTATGGGACAATGTAAACTTGATGAATACTCAGAATTTTTAATTTTGATAATGATTTTAATTTCAAGAAATCTCTCATTCTGAGATTGCTTCTTTTGAAAAATAAAACATGTTGGTTTAGTTAATGAAATATGTCCTTGAACTACAACGACAACAAAAAATTTAAAAAGATATTTTGTGTTTCTGTATTAGCTGCTTTGTCAGCAGCCTTTTGCTTCAATCCTGTTGATTCTCTTTATAATGCCTGATCATATTTCATTTTTAGCTTATAATTATACACCAAAATCTAGATCAATGTCATATGATAGAATTTTCTGCAATGATGAAAATGTTCTATTCTGCACTTTGTCATAAAGTAGTTACCAGCCACACGTGGCTACAGAGCATTAGAAATGTAGTTGGTACAATTCATGGAGCAAATTTTAATTCTTTTTAACTTTAATTTATGTTCAAATATAAATGGTGACATGTGGGTCATAGCTACCATACTGGATAGTGTAGGTCTACATTGTTCAGTGTTTTTGGTTCACATGGGCTCTTTCAGCAAAGGTACTTATAACTATTGACTTCTTCCCAAATCTTTCTTTTCTTGGTCTGCTGAGCTCCATGGAAGGTACAAAAGATAGTGTCAGGGGCAGGCATTTGTCTTAGTGGTAGCAGTTAATGCACTACTCGGGACACCTGCATCTCATGTCAAGTGCCTGAATTTGAGTTCCGACTTTCCTCCCAATTCAGTTTCCTGTTAATGCACTTCTTTGGAGGCAGAGGTTATGGTTCAAGTAACTAGGTTCCTGCCACCCATATGGGAGACCTTGATTGAGTTACTGGCTCCTGGCTTTGGTATAGCTCATCCCTGGATGTTGTGGGCATTTGGAGAGCAAACCGGTGGATAGGATCGATCTTTCTCTCTCTGCCTTTTAAATAAACAAAATATATAAGAAAGCAAAAAATTCAGAGGGAAAAAGATGGTGTCAGTGGCCACTGGTGCCCAGTTCCCTGAGCTGTAGTGCAAATAAATACCAGTAGGTGGACCCCTTCCTTCACTAGGGGTTGGTGGGCAGGTGTCTCTGTTCTTTTCCCCTCCACAGCTTGCATGAGCCTGAGAGCAGACATACACACACACACACACACACACACACACACACACACACATAGTGAGGCACACAGAAGTGGCAAGCAGAAAGGACAACAGACATGTTCATGCCACCACATGAACAAAAACTCTTCTCTGCTGGTCTGTGGGATTGTTGCTGGCTTGAGATTTGTGAAGAGACCCTTTCAGGAATGGGACAGAATTGTCTCTCTAACAGTGGTTGCATGCCCCAGCAGGAAATGACTTGACAGAGGAAGGATGTTACCTAGAGATGCTCAGTCCTACACTGTGCTACTTTGAGGAAATAATAACGGCACCTAAAAACCCCAATATCTTTAGCTTTCTTAACAGTGTGAACCAAACCCAACTTACTGGGTTATAATAACCTACTGGGTTACATACTGATTCACAGTATATAACAATCTTCCAAATATTTCATTAAGGCTTGACATCACTCTGCAAATGAACAACACAGAGTGAAACTGGGAGAGGGGAATAACCAACATTTATGCTAAATTAAAACCAAAGCCTCCAGGTCAGATGCAACTTCAGGAAGAATGTATACCAATAATTGAGTAAAATCAAAGACACCTCTTCCTTACACTGAAAAAGTGGTAAGAATTTTGTGACTACTTGACCTCTATCGATGTTTAAGTGTTCTATACTGTTGGCAAATAATTCTTGTGAAAAAAAAAAAAAACCCACATCATTTTCTCCAAATCCTCCATCAGTTTTCAAATATGCTCTAAGATAAGAGATGAAGTGACATTTTGAGTCTATGATGCCTTCAATGAGAATTTCCCAGGTATTCCTTTCTCATTAAGCTTTTAGAATTGGAGCAGAACACGTAAAAGAGGCAGAGTGACTATGCAGGAGAAGACAGGCTTTGGAGAACACCTGTGTAGGTAAGTGACACATACCTGGTGTGCCTCTGGTCCAGACAGTTATGCCTCTGAGCCCCATTTCCTCATATGTAAAATAAGGATACTATTATCTGCCTCACAATTATTGAAAGGACCAATCACTGGAATTTTCAATGGTTTCTATATTTTCATTTTATGTTTTCTAAAAGGAAAAAAGTTGTTTTCCTTCAAATGCCAACTAGACAGACATATAAGGTGCATGCATGTGCATTGGGTTGAATAGTGTCCCCCAAATTTCCTATCTACTTAGAACTTGTGGATGTGACCTCATCTGGAAACAGGGCCTTCACAAATGGAATCAAATTAAGATGAGACCTTTCTGGAATAGCGTGGGCCCCAAATCCAAAGACGAAAAGAAGGACATGTGAAAACAGACGCAGAGGATGTCATGTGAGGATAGAGGCTGAGACTGAAGTGATGCAGCTGCAAGCTGAGGCATGCAAAGGATTGCTGGCAACCACTGGAGGACAGGAAGAGGCAAGGAAGATTCTTGCCTAGAGCCCTCAGAGGGAGCATGGCCCCGTGACAACTTCCTGTCAGACTTCTAACCCCCAGAGTTGTGAGAGAATACGTTTCTGCTGTTTGAAGTCACTCAATGTATGTTGTTTTGTTATAGCACCCACGGCAAACTAATACTGTATCGATTCCTAAAACAGACATGAAAGTGTTGTGGCTCATCTTTCACACAGAAAAAAAAGTTCCATACATTTTGCTGTGGCTAAATGATAGCAAGCTGATTCATACCTTAGTTTTATTTGACATGGATTTTCCAAGAATACACTTTATTTCAGTTTTTAAATCCTTTTTTATTTATCTGAGAGACACACAGAGAAAAACAGAGCTCCCATCTACTGCTTTATTCCTCAAATGACTGCAATGGCCTGGAGGAGCAGGAATGATCTCCCAGGAGGGTGGCAGGGACTCAATTACCTGAGCTATTCCTGCTGCTTCCTAGAGTCTACACTGGCTGAAATCTGGAGTCAGGAGCCAGGCTGGGAATATACTCTAATGTGCACCTGGTATCTGAATCACTAGATGGGTGCCTGCTCTCCCCCCACTCCACAAAATTATTATCTTTGACAGGGTGTGGCCAAGATGACAGACTTACCCCATTCTCTGGGTATCCAAGTCTACAAACCTCAAAAGAAGATTTCGATGGGCCAGAGCTGGTTTCGCTGTCCACTCCTGAACTACCTGATGCAGCCCTGTGGCTGGGCAGTTCCCACAGAGAGAGGACGGATGGAGACAATCAACACAGGGAAGGAAAACTCCATTTCCTTCTACAACACGCTCTTTACAAACAAACAAAACAAAAACAACAAAATCCTCCAAATCCTGACTAAAATACTAAAAAGTGAAGTGGGCAACCACAGGTAGAGAAGCAAATCTAAAGGGAGACACAAATATGATTTGAAGAATAAGTAGTTGTAGGAAAGTCAAATTATCAATAAATGCAGTAGATTGGTAAAGAAATTTAATTAGGAGTTAATAAGCAGATGAACTGGATGCTTTATATATGTAAGTATAAATAAAATAATTTTCAGGGGCCAGCATTGTGGTATAGCAGGTAAAGCTGACGCTTGCAACACCAGCATCCCACATGAGTGCAGGTTTGTGTCCCAGCTGCTCTACTTCTGATCCAGCTCCCTGCTAATGTGCCTAGGGAAGCAGCAGAAGATGGCCCAGGTGTTTGGGCTCCTGTCACACATCTGGGAGACCCAGATGAAGCTCCTGGCTCCTGGCTTCACCCTGGCCCAGCGCTGGCCATTGCCGTCACCTGGGGAGTGAACCAGTAGATGGAAGATCTCTCTTTTTCTGTCTCTCCCTCTATCTCTGTAGCTCTGTCAAAAAAATGAATAATTTTTAAAATAAATTGATTAAATAATTTTCAAAGTTTGGGGTTCCATGAAAAACTCTTTCCTATTTAGAAGAATAAAAGAAACTAAGCAACCATTTGTTAATTTGAAGATTTGTTTGACAGAAATTCTTACCTTTTGTTAATAAAGGAAATGCATTTCCCCACAGGTAAGCATCTGACTGCCAATTATCAGTAGGGCACTGGAGTGCCATGGGGTTATCTCCAGAGACAATTAAACTCAATGTACCACTTGTAACTTTCTTAGAAATAGAAATGATCACTTACCATGGTACTAGAGTCTCTATTAGCTCGATCAAGTTCAAAAGAATTTATTTTTTTGGCACTCATTTCATCAGTGTCAGCAAGGATATAATGTCTAGGTGAGTAAGCACTGGACAAGCTCTCAAGCAGCCTCAGGATCTCAGTGGTATGTCCACCTGGAAAAAATATCAGAATGCCTAAGATTAAGAAACCCACAATGAACGTACTATTTGACTATTACACTAATGTCATATCTTCAGAGGAGGAAGGACCACTGTAATTGTATATTTCTCAAAAGACACAAGAAACATTTAGAAATAGTAATTAAGCCCTTGTATAAATACTACTTTTATATAGGGAAGAAGATAATAAATGCATAAAAATAAAATTGGCCCTAGTGATAGGTACTGAGGAAGGTAGAAGGAAGTGTAAGAAACAGCTCTGCTTCTCCGGAAGTCTGGTGGGGACGAGCAACACACACAGACACACAAACATACATGGATAAAGAAGAAGCAAGACAGCAAGAAAAACTAAAATGTGAGGAAAAGGCAAATGGTTATGAAAAAGCAATGCCCTAAAAGTCAGGAAGATCCCTGGTAAAAGCTGAGATGACTTGAGAGGTGAAGGTACAGGGCAGATGGGTGTAGGGAGGCCACTGGGCAGGGTGCAATCTTGTGGGTGTGAGATGGCAAGATCTGAGACCTGTGGTTCAGGGGGTGATGGGATTAAAGGGAAGAAGGGTGAGGGGGAAGCAAGGTAAGGAGAGCACAAAGAGAAATGGGAAGACAGACACCAAAGGTTCCTGTGCTCAGCAGTAAGGCAAGGGAGGCACCAGCCCTACCAGTAGAGTTTGGGTCTTCCTGAGGGAGACTTCTGTTCATCACTGTAGTCCCAGCTCCCAAGAGAGGTCTTAGCACACTGCAGGTCCTCAAATTTTACAAAACTCACCAACCAGGTCTCCGTTCAGTTTCTGAAGTCTTACAATTGTCAGTATCTAAATCTCTGATTTCAAAAGCAGATTTACAAATCAACTACGTTCACTGAGGTTTCCTTCATTCAAACTACAACAAAGAATATCTACCTATCTACAAGCCAACCACTTAAACAAAACAAACTCCTCACCACCTCTTTATCATTTCTCAAGTTCTGTGTCTCAGCCTGGTTGACATCTTCAACATTTCTGCATTCATCTTACTTAAAACTTCCTCCTTGCCTTGGATCACCTTCCCCTACCTAGAAACCTTCCCCACCCTGTCTTTCTTATTCTAAGAAACAGTTTCAGTAATGACAGGTGAATGCACACAAAGATAACCAAACAAATAAAGTTTATGTTTCTGCCAACACATACATTTTTCTTATAGTAAAAGTGAAGGAATTCTTTTTAGATTCCAAAAGGAATCAGATATAGAAAGAAATGTGGCATAGATTTAGTGTGACTTTCAGCAGTTAGAATCATACATTAACTTTACAACTTATCACTCATCTTCTTTTAATATCTTCTTGTGATATCTCTGGTTTATACTCATTTTTGTTTTGTGTTTGTTTGTTTTTTTAGCCTTGAAAAACTGTAGTGATTTGCAAAGTGGGTGCTTGTTTTCACAGCCAGAACAATTAAAGATAAAACCTTAAATCTACAACATCTTCTATAGCAATGAATTTCATTATCCCTGTTTTCATCTTCCTTCTTTTTTTTTTTTTTTTAAAGAAAGCTCACTGAATACATCAACTAAAAATTTAACCTTGTTACTGGAAAAGGTCATTAATATCATGGACTTGGTCTTCCGCTTTACACTTTTTAAGATATATTTTAGAGGGAATAAAATCCTCTCAATTCTACCTGAAAATATATCGAGTATCCAATCACTTCTCACCACCTCCTTTGCCACCAACTGGCTCTAAGCAACTACCACTTCTCTCAGCTCCTTCCCCTTCCATCTATTCTCAACATAGCATCCAGAGTTATCCAAATGATTTACCTCTGCTCAAAACCCTCCAGTGGCTTCTCATCTCACATGGAATAAAGGCTTCTTATAATACTACCTCCTGGGATTCCATGACTTTCTCTAGGATAGATCATATGCTAGGCCATAAGGCAAGTCTCAGCAAATTCAAAAAAGTCAAAATCATAACACGTATCTTCTCTGACCACAATGGAATGAAGCTGCAAATCAACAACTCAAGAATCTCTAGAACATATGTGAACACATGGAGACTGAAAAACCTGCTCCTGAACAGTTAGTCATAAAAGAAATTAAAAGAGAATCAAAAAATTTCTGGAAGTGAATGAAGATGACAATGTACCATATAAAAACTTATGGGATACATCAAAGGAGTATTAAGAGGGAAGCTTATAGCAACTGGTGCCTACATAAAGAAATTGGTAAGGCACGAAATAAATGAGCTATCAGTGCATCTCAAGGACCTACAAAAACAACAACAAACCAAACCTGAAATGAGGGGGAGGAAAGAAATAATTAAAATTAGAGAAGAAATAAACAAAATTGAAACAGAAAATACCCCACCAAAAAATCAGTGAAATAAAGAGCTGGTTTTTTGAAAAAGTAAACAAAATTGATAGATCATTGGCCCAACTAATAATAAAAAAGAGGGAGAAAATCCAAATCAATAAAAAAGATGAAAAAGGAGATATAACAACAGATACCACAGAAATAAAAAAAATCATCAGGAATTACTACAAAGAGCTGTATGCCAACAAATTGAGAAACCTAGAAGAAATGGATAGATTCCTGGACATATACAATCTACCAAAATTGAGTCATGAAGACATAGAAATCACAAACAGACCAATATCCAAGACAAAAATTGAATCAGTAATAAAGACCTTCCCATCAAAGAAAAGCCCAGGATTGCTGAATTCTATAAAATATTTAAAGAACCAATTCCAGTTCTTTTCAAGTTAATCAAAACAATTGAAAGGGAGGGAATCCTCCCAAACTCCTTCTATGTAGCCAGCATCACATTAATTCCTAAACCAAAAAAAGATACAACAGAGAAAGAGAACTATAGACCAATATCCCTGATGAGCATACACGCAGAAATCCTCAACATAATACTAGCTAATCAAACTCAACAACATATCAGGAAACATCATTCAGCAAGACCAAGTGTGATTTATCCCTGGAATGCAGGGATGGTTCAACATTTGCAAATCAATCAGTGTGGTACATCACATTAACAGATGGAAGAACAAAAACCATATGATTATATCAATAGATGCATAGAAAATATTTGATAAAAATACAACAAACTTTCATGATGAAAACCTTAAACAAATTGGGTATAGAAGGAATATTGCTCAACACAATCGAGGCAATATATGACAAACCCACAGCTAGCATCTTATTGAATGGGGAAAAGTTGGAAGCATTCCCATAAAGATCCAGAACTTGACAAGGATGCCCACTCTCACCATTGCTTTTCAATATAGTCCTGGAAGTTTCAGCCAGAGCTATTAGGCAAGAAGAACAAATCAAAGGGATACAAATAGAAAAGGAGGAAGTCAAGCTGTCCCTATTTCCAGATGACATAATTCTATATATATGAGGAATCCAAAAGACTCCACTGAGAGGCTACTGGAACTCATAAAAGAGTTTGGTAAAATGGCAGGATATAAAATTAACACACAAAAATCGACAGTCTTTCTATACACAGACAATACCATGGCTGAGAAAGAAATTCTAGGATCAATCCCATTCACAATAACTATAAAAAATTAAATACCTTGGAATAAATTTAACCAAGGATGTCAAAGATCTCTATGATAAAAATTGCAAAACACTAAGGAAAGAAATAGAAGAAGACAGAAAAAAAATGGAAAAATCATCCATGTTCATGGAATAGAAGAATCAATATCATGAAAATGTCCATATTATCAAAAGCAATTTACAGATTCAATGTGATCCCAATCAAAATACCAAAGACATTCTTCTCAGACCTAGAAAAAAAATGCTAAAATTGATACGAAACACAAGAGACCCTGAATAGCTAAAGATATCTTATACAACAAAACAAAGCCAGAGGCATCACAGTACCAGATTTCAAGACATACTATAGAGCAGTTATAATCAAAATAGCCTGGTTCTGGTACAAAAACAGATGTGTAGACTAATGTGTTAGACTAATGTGTAGACTAATGGAATAGAAACTCCAGAATTCAATCCATGCATCTACCACCAACTTATCTCTGACAAAGGGGCTAAAATTAATCCCTCGGAAAACTGGATCCCATGTGCAAAAATATGAAACAAGACCCCTACCTTACACCTTACACAAAAATCCACTCAAAATGGATCAAAGACCTAAATCTATGAATTGATACCATCAAATTACTAGAGAATACTGGGGATACTCTGCAAAACATCGGCATAGGCAAAGACTTCTTGGAAGAGACCCCAGAAGCACAAGCAGCCAAAGACAAAATTGACAAATGGGATTATATTAAGCTTCACTGCAAAAGAGACACTCAGCAAAGTGAAATGGCAACTGACAGAATGGGAGAAAATATCTGCAAGCTATGCAACTGGTAAAGCGTTAATATCCAGAATCCATAAAGAGATCAAAAAATTCAACAACAAAAACAAACAATCTAGTTAAGAAATGGGCAAAGGACTTGAACAGGCATTTTTCAAGAGAAAAATTTTCAAATGGCCAACATACACTTGAGAAAAATGCTCAGGATTGCCAGGCATCAGGGAAATGCAAATCAAAACCAGAATGAGGTTTCATCTCACCCCATTTAGAATGGCTCTTATATAGAAATCAACAAACAACAAGTGCTGGTGAGGATGTGGAGAACAGAGTACCCTAATCCACTGTTGGTGGGAATGTAAACTGGTCCAGCCACTATGGAAGACAGTATGGAGATACCTCAGAAATATGAATATAGACCTACCATATGATCTAGCAATCCTACTCCTGGGAATTTATTCAAATGAAAAGAAACTAGCATATGAAAGTTATCTGTACCCCCATGTTCATTGCAGCTGAATTCACAATAGCTAAGGTATGGCATCAACCCAGATGTCCATCAGCTGATGACTGGATAAAGAAATTATGGTACATATACACTATGGAGCACTACTCAGCTATAAAAAAAAGAAGAAAAAATTGTCTTTTCAAGACAATGGATACAACTGGAAACCATTATACTTTATGATATAAGCCAGTCCCAAAGTCAGATATCATATGTGTTCCCTGATCTGAGATAACTAATGGAGTACTAAATATAATGTATTGAAGTGAATTGGACATTTTGAGATTTGATGATTGTTTACAGCTCTTGTCTCTTCTTTTGAGGTTCAGTTTTTCTTCCTTCGTACTATTTGTTGGATTCTTTACTTAGTGTAGGGTTAACCTGATGAGTACTAAGTAAATTGAAAACAGACTTTTGTAAAAACTAAGAGTGGGAATAGCAGAGGAAGGAGGAAGAAGGGTTGGAGAATGGGTGGGAGGGAGGACTGGGTGATAAATCACTATGTTCCTAAATTTTATATATGAAATTCATGAATCTTGTATACTTTAAATAAAATTAAAATTTTTTAAATGACCCCCAATTCTGTTACTTCTGGGCCTTCATTTCTTGCTTCTACTATCTAACTTGGGTCACTATAGTTACTAAGGCCTCTATGCCATTAGATATTTGTTATTCCTCCAGGAAAGTGTTCTCTGATAATTCTTTTAAAAGTGCAACTCTCCTTCCCCATATCATAGCAGTTTTCAAGATGTAATTTATTATGTAGTCTATTTCTTTTCTCTTAAGATTTATTTATTTGTTTTGAAAGAGTTACAGCAAAAGATCTTCCATCTACTGGTTCACTCCCCAAATGGCTTCAATGGCCAGGGCTGAGCTAGGCCAAAGCCAAGAGATGGCAGTTCCATCTGGATCTTCCAAGTGGGCACAGGGGCCCAAACAGTTGGGCTATCTTCCGCTACTTTCTCAGGTACATTAGCAGGGAGCTGGATTGGAAGTGGAGCAGTTGGGACTTGAACAGGCATCCATATGGGATTCTGGCATTGTAGGCGGTGGTATTACCCTCTATGTCACAGTGTCAGCTCCATATACAGTTTCTTTCTTTCTTATTTTTTATTCTCTCCCCAGCCCTACCCAACTGGAAGGCAGGCATTGTGCTGTTGGGAGTTTTTGTTCATTTTGTTACTGCTGTTATCTCCAGTCCTTAGAAAAATAGTAGGACCTCCTAACATTTAATGAGTGAAAATTTCATATTCAATCTAAAATTTTCCTAAGGAGACTAAATCATACTTCAAATGAAAAAGAATCATTTTGACAGATGTTCTCTAAATATGAGTGGTCTTCAAGGAAAATGTGTGTTAAGAACGAACTATGGTAAGATTTCAAAAATATTCTGCATAAAATAAACTTATCTTTTTTTAAAAAAATATTTATTTATTTATTTATTTATTTGAAAAGCAGAGTTACAGAGAGGTAGAGGCAGAGGCAGAGAGAGAAGTCTTCCATTTGCTGGTTCACTCCCCAAATGGACGCAATGGCCGGAGCTGGACTGATCCAAAAGCAGGAGCGAGGAGCTTCATCTGGGTCTCCCACGTGGGTGCAGGGACCCAAGAACTTGGGCCATCCTCCGCTGTTTTTCCAGGCACATTAGCAGGGAGCCGGATTGGAAGCAGAGAAGCCAGGACTCAAATTGGCTCCCATATGGGATGCCAGCAATGCCAGTGGCGGCTTTACCTGCTATGCCACAGTGCTGGTCCAAAAACAAACTTAACTTTTAACTTGATTTTTTGGAAACTTTTTGTAGTACATTTGTAAATAAATTTCATAGTACTCAAAAATTAAATATTTCTTATATCTTAAAAGTAAATATTGAAGGCCTGGCACTGTGGTGCAGCAAATTAAGTCACGGCCTGCAGTGCTGGTATCCCATTTGGGTGCCAATTCATATCTGGCTGCTCCACGTTAAATCCAGCTCCCTGTTAATGCCCCTAGAAAAGCAGTGGAAGATGGCTCAAGTTCCCGGGCCCAGGAATCTGTGTGGGAGACCCAGAAGAAACTCCTGGCTCCTGATTTCTGCCTGGCCTGGCCCTGGCTGCTGTGGCCATTTGTGGAATTAATGAGCACATGGAAAATCTCTATCTCCCTCCCTCTAACACTTTCCAATAAATAAATAAATAAATAAATCCTTTTTTTAAAAGTAAATATTGAAAATATTTTCCCTCCTCCAAAGTTTTGGGAATGAACTATTCAACTATTTATCTAATTATATGTATTTTTTTGACTTACAGGATTCTTTGAGACCCTTGACCCCTCTCTACCATGAATAATTTGAACGACAGGTGAATTCTCAGTCCTAGTTTTGGTTTCTGGTCTACCTAACTCACTACTATCAAGCAAAAGGGTCCAACCTGCAGTCATCTGTTTTAAGTTAGAAACACGGACATCATACTTGGTCCTTCACTCCCTCCCCATCTACATTCAAACCTAAAATCTCCTAGGCTCATTTGAAAGCATTCACTTTTCTCCATCTCCACACTCTTCACTTCAGTCAGGCTTCCTCATCTGTCATCTGAATTATTCAAAGGGCTCCCAGTCATCTCACTGTCTTAGTCTTTATCATGACACTCAAGACATTCCAGGCTGAATGACTTTTGTGCAAGTTCAGTGAAGTGCGTCATTCTTCACTAAAAAATATTTTAAAAGATTCCTTTGCTCCTAGAGCTAAAAATAATTACCTTTTATTAAATGCTTACACTATGTAACACTTTGCTGAACACTCTACATACTACATTTAATCTCTCCTGACCTTTCTTTTCATGATGGAACCAGAAGGCTTAGTGAGATACTAATTTGCCCAAGATCAATAGGGTAGCAAGTGTAAGAGATGTGACTGAACTTTAGCAGTATGTGACACTGCAGGCCTGTAACCCCTACATGATCCGGAGCTGCAGAATAGCAATATAGCTCTATAAAGCAGGTTTAAGAACAATCTTGAAGGCCTGGACTGAGCTTACTGCCCCATCTGGAACTCTGTGTAGCAGCGCCATTTCTCCATTCTCGGTGCTAAGGGCCCTTTCGAGTACTGCTACCTTCTTTTATTACACCTTTCCACCCTTCAAAGTGCCAGGCCCTCTCTTCTCTGGCTAATTCTTCACCATCTTTCAAGTTTAGTTTCCTGTCTCAAGTTAAGATAAAGTGGTGTCCTTCCTGGAAATTGCCACAAAAGTTTGTACTTGTTATATTTTATACATACATACATATATATATATTTTTTTTCATTGTGACAAGTACCCATTTTGTTTATTTTCTGTTCATTTTCCTATATTCTCCATCTCACTTTTTGCTCTTTGTACCCTTCAGTGGCTGACACATAGTCAGCACTCCATAGTAAGGAATATTAGTCAGTTTTGTTATTTCCAGAGCTTACCTTAGTGCCTGACCTTTTCTATGGCTCAAAATATGTTAAGTAAATAAAAGAAAGAACTATACTTGAACATAAATTTAGGAAATTTGCTCATCTGTAAATATTATTCTATCTAGATGCAATCTCCTGGTATTTCCAAACGTACAAATTTTGGATATATATGCATGCATGGGTGCAATACACTCATGCAAGCCCATAAGGACCTTTCAATCAACAGCAGACCACATATATAGTCATGGTCCCTTAAGATGATAATTTAGCTGCAAAATGCCAATTGCTGGGTCATCACAGCTGTAATTTCTAGTGCAATACATTATTCATGTGTTTGTGGTGATGCTGGTGTATACAAACCTGTGCTGCCAGTTGCATAAAACTACAGCACATGCAATTAGATACAGTATATAATACTTGATAATAAATGACTATGCTACTGCATGATGTGTTTACTACACTCCACTTGATTGTATAGAGCACACTTCTACTTATAAAACAGTTTAGTGTAAAGCAGTAGCCCTATGATGCCAACAGCAGCTTCATACCTCTCATGTTTACTGAGTCTCGTGATGGCATCATTTTCTCTGGTGCTTAATTTAATCTCATGTTGTTCTGTTCACCATGGCCTTAGGAGCAATAAGCTATGCCATACACGAGAAGGTATTTCAACATAATGGAAAAAGGGAATTCAACTCCATGCACAGTTTTTCTTTCTTTCTGTTTTTTGTTTTTTACAATCGCAGTCATATTTCAAGAACTTATGTAAGACCCATGGTGTATGGACACCATGAAATCTACGTGTATAGTAAGGCTATGCCTTATGGACTGGTGTAAGCACACTGCCTGCACAAGGTCGAAATCGCCATCAGGATGCCTTTCTCACAACGTAAGCAACCCACGGTTGTCTATACTCTTGCCCAAACTGTCCACTTAATGATGTGAGCATCGTCAGAGCCTGTAGACGTGGACTCCACCACCTGACAGGCCAGCGGTCTGTTAATCATACTCTGCCACCCGGGGTGTCTTGTTCTACGGTCGGTGGATACTTGTATTTATCCTCGCGGATTTTGTAAATTTTGTAAATGTTACTATTTACGTTATTCGTGTTTCCTAAATACAAAATGACTACATTAGTAATGCGCAGCAGCCATTGAGGGAAACTACGTAAGCTTCAAAAGGCTTCAGCGTTCTCTCTGTTCACTAATAATTTACTCGAAAAAACAATGTTATCCAGAGGTCTAATTACACCCAAGCGTTAAGTTTCTTAAGACTTGTCATTAAAACACGACTGGGCCGCGTCGGCAAACTAGCATTTTGCTGTGGCCGGGAGGCCGGTTCCGGTTACGCAAAGAAACTACAAAACCCAGCATGCAACGCTCAAAGCAGCACTGAGGGGAGCACAGAATAGCGTCGCGGTGTACTCTGGGGTTTGTAGTGAAGGACACAAACCCGCCCTCCACCGCCCCGATACTTACCGGATCCAGCCACTACTACGAGACTGAGAGACTCTCGGGGCGTAACGCCCCGGGAATGAAGCACTACCCATAGTCGCAGGACTAGGAAGACCACCACAGCTCCTGCCGCTGCAGCTAGACTAAGAACCCACACCATGCGAACGGAAAACGCATGCGTGCTAGACCCTGGCGCCAGCGGGTAAAGTTCACGGCTACGGGCGCCGAGGAGACTCAAACGCGGAGCGTCGCACCTCCTGTGGGCTGGGCTTGAGCGAGGGGGCGGAGTCACGGTCCAGAGGGAACGCCGACCTCTGTGCACCTCTGCGGTGCACTCCCCACGGCTACCGCTCATCCTAAACTAAGCGGAAATTCGAGAAGTCAGGAGCTGCAGTTTGAGTTCTGCCCGCGACGAGGTCAGGCCGCCTGTGCGCCCTAAAGACCCCGAAGCTCCCAAATTGGGAGATGTTCCAGCTTTTCCCCGAGGCTAACGGCATCCATGGCTGCTTTTTTTCTTTCTTTCTTTCCTCATGTGGAACGATGTATTTATGTTGCACGTACAGACATTACTGAAAGTGTTTGACAGTAAAAGGTACCCTGGGGGCAGAGGAGTATTGAGACTGGAGCGCTCGTTCAAACTCTCTTTTCCCCAACAGGCAGGTTTTAGCGTTTGCAGGAGTTCCCCAGACCTCAGTCCATGTGACCAGAGTAGTTGAGGTGATCTCGAGTTATGCCGTGTTCCTGAGAGCAGAGGAAGCTCTGTGGCGCATGGAGAAGGCAATAGCCCTGCAATTAACATTCCGTTCATTTTACCTCAGAGCGTTCCCAGTTTGTTCTTCGTATCCTCGGCCAGGAAGATGATTTGTCAAGCGCCGCTCCAATCTGTGTTTTGCTTATTTTTATGTCTACTTAATCCACATTACAGCAACAGGAAAATACTGAGAGAAACCCCCTCGCTGCAAGTGTAATTGGCCGTCAGTGCCCTGTAGACCTGTAGGTTAGGTGGTTCAAGGATGCAGATAGATAAGCAGGTCCAGAAAGGTGCAGCAGCTTCGGGCGGAATAGTGGCCGATCCGGAACTGGAAATCAGAAATCCCAACTCCCGCTCACAGGAGGATTACGTAGTGTATTTCTTTCCTAAATTCAAGTTCGCCTGATGGTCCTACTTATCTGTGTCCTAGACTGTGTTTTCGAAAGTAAGGATGCCCAGAGTCCGCTAGGAAGCTACAGAATTAGTCTCCAGGGGAGGTGCCTGGGATCAGCTTAAATGAGTGCATTCCACCAAGTTTATGGGAAAATGGAATTGAAAGATAAGTTTATTCGATGCCAAAAAAATTTTTTCTGCATAGTGTTTTCAAAGTATACATTTTCCATGAACTTTTTAAAACCCTTCATATCACCAGCGTACCAACTCCTATCAGCAGGCACATTTTTGGAAGACTTTGTGGGTGTATCCTTTTCTGGCTCACGGACCTCACAGCACTTTCCGTATTTAGTCTTCTGGCAAATCTTCTTAACCCTATGTTCTCACAGTAGGCTCACACTGATGTCTGTTAGCGGTTCCAGAAATTAACATCCACACAGGGCAATCCCCAGAGCCAAAAAGGAGATTATTTCGTCATTCAGTCTTTTTCTAATATCAAGGAACCTTTTTGAGTCCCTAAATACACACTTTTTTTTTTTTTAAAGATTTATTTATTTATTTGAGAGGCAGAGAAACAGAGAGAGAGAGACGCACACACACAGAGAAAGGTCTTCCATTGCTGGTTCACTCCCCAAATGGCTGCAATGGCCAGAGCTGGGCCAAGCTGAAGCCAGAAGCCAGGAACTTCTTCTGGGTCTCCATGCAGGTATAGGGGCCAAGCACTTGGGCCATCTTCCACTGCTTTCCCAGGCCATTAGCAGAGGGCTGGATCAGAAAAGGAGCAGCAGGGACACGAACCATTGCCCGTATGGGATACTGGTGCTGCAGGTGGAAGCTTAACCTACTATGCCAGAGCCAGTCCCAGCAGTTTCTTTTACTCCTTTAGTCTGTACTTGTCTCAGTGTCCATATGCAAAAGAGACAACAGAGCTGGTGGAGGGGGCAGTGGAGGATGAGATGACTCTTCTGTAAAAGTGTATGGCCAGGTGGGCGCCACGGCTCAGTAGGCTAATCCTCCGCCTTGCAGCGCCGGCACACCGGGTTCTAGTCCCAGTCGGGGCGCCGGATTCTGTCCTGGTTGCCCCTCTTCCAGGCCAGCTCTCTGCTGTGGCCAGGGAGTGCAGTGGAGGATGGCCCAAGTCCTTGGGCCCTGCACCCCATGGGAGACCAGGAGAAGTACCTGGCTCCTGGCTTCGGATCAGCGCGGTGCGCCGGCCGCAGCGGCCATTGGAGGGTGAACCAACGGCAAAAGGAAGACCTTTCTCTTTGTCTCTCTCTCTCACTGTCCACTCTGCCTGTCAAAAAATTAAAACAAAAAAAGTGTATGGCCAATGGGTAGAGGACGGGTACTGAGCAAAATAAGCATTCTCTTGGAGAGGAAGAAGTTGAACAACAAAGGATTTTTTTGTGTGGGCAAGCAATAGCATCTGGATTTCTATGATGATAATGTGTCTGATGGGGCTTTGTTAACTGACACATATGAAGTGGATGTTGAGCGTATAATAATTATTTGGCTCCAGGCCCCAGCCTTTATATTGTTGTACCTGAGCGAGTGTAAACAAAGGAGCACCACACATTGATAAAATGTGATGGTCCTTTATTACCGGCGGTGGAGAGTGGGCTCATGCCCTAAAGAACTCTCGACCCTGAAGCCCAAAGCCACAGCATTTATAAAGGCAAAAACCACAAAATCGGGAGGGGAATACATGGTTGCTAGGATCGGGGGGAATACATGGTTACTGGGGTCAAGCTGACCTAAAACCCATGTGAAACTAGTATTAATTATGATCTTGACAATACCAGTTACAATCTTAAAAATTTCAATTATAATGTTGACATTAATTCAGGTATTGGTTTTAATCATATGTAGGACATAGACAAATTGCATTTTTATCTTTAAACCAGGTACAGCCTATCCACTTCCAAGCTTGAGCGATCATGCTATGGGGTTTCTATGCTCTGCCAAGTGTGATGTAGTAGACTGCTATTGTCCAACTGTTTTGGATCATAGTTTCAGACCAGAGTCTCACGGTGTGGGGGGGCACCTTCCCAGAATGGAGTCTCAGATTCTCCAAAATGGAGTCCCTACTGTCAAGGTGTTACTTCAATATTAGGGAAGATTTAATACTGGGAAAACACCTTGGCATTTGCTATTACTGCATCACCTCAGTACTGAACTGTTATCATAGGAAAAATCATTTTTACCCCACTTAGCATGCAGCTGGAATGAATGGGGGCAATCAGGCATTTGGGGGCTGCCCATAAGTACAGAGATTTTAAAAGGTTGAGTTAGCAGTTATTCTGAATTAAGGAGAGGGTCAAACTGTTCAGTATTTCTGTCAAGAAAGTTGAGGACTTCAAACTGGAGCTGGGTAGAAGGTAGGGACAGGAACCAAGTTGAGTATTCATGAATAAAAGTGCTGCTGAGTAAGCTGACTCTTTGGCTATTGCAGACACAGAATACAAAGATGATCAAGAGGTCAAGAAGTTGTAATGCATTAATTAGGAAAATTAAGGTCAAACCAGAAGAAGCAAAAACTAAAATTTCTTTTGGTTAGGTGAATCATACTGATATTGCAGATATTAAATTCATAGAAATACATATTAGTACTGTGAAAAGCATGAAAAACACATTAATAATTGAAAAATGAATAATGGTATGTGGTCCATAACTAAGCATAAATAAAGTCTGCTGGGAGGTGATTATCTTCTTTTAATCTATTTCTCAGTTTTTATGGCAAATAGCTATTAGTCATATTTGTTGAAGTTTTTTTTTTAGATTTAGATTATTTTGCACTATTCTGTAGACTTGTGTTAATTTAGTCAACATAATTGGTGAGTATCTCTTATATGCTTGACACTTTAAGGTGCAGAGGACATCAAATAAGTAGGACAGTAGCCCAGGAAAGAACAATGGACTAGAGAGATGACAGTGGAGTTATAAAGAGGGCAGATTTGAGATATGGCTTCCTGAACTGAGGTTTTCTGTTGTTTTCCTGGCCTTCTCCATGCATATACCTCCTTTCTGGATCCCAGCTCTCCCTTCACTTGTCCCTACAGGCCCAGAGGTGGTACCAGCCCACTGTAACTTGTCCTAGATTCCTGCAGTACCCCTTGTGCTTTCCTTACCTTATTCACATTGTTGTAAATAGCCCCTTTATTAAGTCAGCCTCAAGTTAACCTAAGTGTGCCATTTGTATCCTGTTGGGGACACTGACTGATACAGGGTGGTACAACCACGTGACAAAAACTTCACAGGAACTGGAGTTGATGGTTTGGAGAGGAAGGTCCTCCTTACCTGTTGGGGTGTGACAGCCAAATAACCTCTATTTGAGAGACCTACTAGGGAAGTAAGGGAAAACAGGGCCTCATCCTAAGCAGGGAAGTGGTGAAGACATTCAAAGAGAAGTCAAAGATAACTGGGGAGTTTGCAGGTTATATATTAGGAGGTCCAAAGGGTTTGAAGGATGGTAAGGAAAGGGGATTAGGTTAGACTGGGGGATTAGTAAAAACCATGGAAATAAGAATCAGGACAAAAACAGATGATCTGTGAGGCGTCTGGGGAGTGAAGAACGTGGGGAGGCTCTCAATTCACTTTAGTTCTGCTGACACCTATCATATGCTTCACATTGGGCAGGCCACTGGGGGTCCTGTGATAAGGGAGTAACAGTTAACACCCAAGCAGTGACTTAACAATGAGCCTAACTGTGTGAACTGCAGGCCTCTTGAAAGGGCCTGCTACAGAAAAGCCACCCAACCAATTCTTTCATGGGGCTTCCTGGGAGTGCGGGCCGCTAGGGATCCTGGCAGCTAGGACTCTAACCACCAGAATCCAACCATCTTCAATCCTAATGAGGATTGAAAATTACGGGTAAAGAAGACTGAAGCTTTTCTACAAAAACCAGGAGCCCACTTTAGCCGGCATTATGCTTGTCCATGACAAGGTAGGATAAAGCTGGACAAGAGTTTTAGTCTGGGTCGGAGACGGAACTAGGGCCATGCGATCACCAGGACTAATGATTGCATGCCTTACAATTAAAGCTCTTCTAGAAGGCTAGGCAGGATGGGTAACAGAAATTGCCCCAGTACAATGCAAATAACCTTCC